GTTTCGCATTCGAAAGCTCCCGTAGGTTACAGAGATAATTAATTAAATTAATTACCACCAGCTATAATCGAACCGTTAACCTTGTCTGTGGAGGATTAGGCGCCTAGACCACTAGGCTATGGGACCCTAACTCTTAATAACAATGTTAAAATTGTCCTTTTATTAATATAAAAGGTGTCATACAAGTTGTTATATCAGACTTATACAATAACTATATCAGATGAATAAAAAGCCCTTAAACAGGACCTTTTTTATTATCTCTATTAATATTAAAGTTTTTATAGCTATATAAATATATATAATATATCAGTATAACAAAAGAACCAATAACAAAATACATTATTTAGTGATTAACAAAAAAGTTTACTTTTTACCCACCTGTTATAATATGAAGTAATGTTTAAAACTAAAAAACTAAAAAATTTATGCTTATTACTGGATGCATTAATAATATCTTCAATATTATAATCGTATTCAATAGAAAGCACTAAAGATTTCAAAGATCATACCTTTGCAATAATGTTAAATGTAAATACTCTATTAAACATAATAGCAATGACTATAATAATATAGGTAGTTATAATAATATCAACAGTCTATAATAATATTGGCAACTAAAAATAATTTAGACAATAGCATTTTAAAATGCTGTGTCGAAAATATTAAAAAAATTTCACCATGCCATCTGTCATAAATCACCCATAATTTAGACACTCGATATAAGTAGGGTTGAAAATTACATAAATTACATTTACGTTACAAATAAATTACACTGTAACTTACAAAATTGTAATGTAATACTGTATTACATTTGATAATGGATTGGCACATGATTATTGTACCAAAATTATGAAAGTTTGCCAGTATTTTTAGAGATTTATCACTACGTTCGGAACTATAATTTTATATGCAAAAGTACACCAGATATAATGAAATTTTGGTACATTATTCACATGATATCAAAATTACATGAAATTTTGGTTTCGGAAGCTTACACTAAATTGCGTAAAATTACACAAAATTATGGTAATTTCACAACAAGCAACATATCAGCAAATTTGAAAAACCCATGAGCCGTAACTCTGGTCAAATTTGCAGATCATTTGACCAGCTTTAATTTCAAACTTGGCCAAGCAAATTTGACTAGAGCTACGGGTTTTATATTTTATCAAATTCCACAAATTTATTGATATGATTAAGCTTATTATATTTGTTGCTAAAAAAAGGAGAACTCTAAGCGTTAAAACTATCATTTCTGCTAACTAAGCATTTATACTAATAAATATATTTCCGATTAAATTTCATAAGTTAATAAAAAATATTATGCTTACTGAAATTATCAACTGAATTAGAGTTAAAACAGAGGCTATATATAAAATTGGTTTATTAATATTTTATCAGTGCCGCAAGGTACATGCTTCTCTTATTTACTTAGTGTCAATTAAAATTTATTGTATGATGTCACATTTTAATGAATACCATAACTTTGGTCTTGAAATTTTAAATCCGACTATCAGTTTGAAATTTCAACCCGACAGATATAAATGGCTGTAACAGCTTGTGATTTGATGAGACGATGTATTAACGTGACTTTTACAGGTGTTATTTTACCATTCTAAAAGGAAAATAACAATAAGATGCCGCTAAATATAGTTAAAAGTGGTATTGGTTAAAAGCCCTATACGTATTAGTAGTTTGTCCAGCTACAATTTTGCTTAGGCTTATATTGTGATTATATAAGTTGTACTAGTAAAACCAATTTTGATTAAAATTTTGCAGGCAAATTTGCCTGCAAATCGGTTTAAGGGATAAAATTTATTTTAACTTTTAATACTATATTAGTATCTGTTTATATAATACTATATATATGTGAAATCAATGAATTTCAAATATTTTTCTGATTATGAACTTTAAAATTTTAAGCAATTAATTAATCGATTAGTCAATCGATTAATTAATTGGTCAATTAATCAATCAGTTGACCAATCGATTAATCGACTAATAGATTGGTAACTAATTAATCGATTAATCGATTGGTCAATTAATTTATCAACTAATCGATTGAAAAATTTCGACAATTTGTAACACTAGTCGGTTACTTATTGATTCCGATTCAGTAACTTATCGATCGGTCATCGGCAATGTTTTCAGTTGTTCCAGAATTTATGAAAACAGTGTAAAAGTCGGCCGGGGAGGGTCACTTTAAAATTTATATGTTATGAGAAACCATTAACTTTGTGGCCTTATATATAACAATTTATAAAGTTTTCTTTTGATTTTTTTTAAAAACCCACCCGGTTATTATTGCGCTTTTCAAAAAGATGTGACCTTCACAGATCATAATGTCGTGTGGGAATCGGAGATTCTTTAGATTTTAAGAATTTTACTGATTTTGAATGAAAATATATAATAATAAGCAATTTAAAATCTCGGAAGTTTTCCCCGATCATCATCACAAAAATTATGGGATCACATCTTTTAAGACTTTTTCAAAAGTTGCTACATGTGTTATCTCCCTCGCAAGTCACGCGAAATCATAGTAAACCTCATACAGGAAGATCCCCAAATTCCGGTTGGAATGCGTTGGAATCCTGGTCGACTGGGTCGAAATTGATAATTTTGCCAAGATAAAATTTACTAGTTATAGCCACTCAATACCGTATAGTTCCGAAATTAAGCACCACCCCCTCTACCCCAATTTTTTGAATCTCAGATTAGCGGGAGTAATTTGGCCAAAGAACTTATTAAAAATTCCGCTAATCTGAGATTCAAAAATTGGGGTAGGTGCTTAATTTCGGAACTATACGGTAAGTAAAAATACCCAACTGATAATTTTACTATAGAATGGGTTCCGGAATTTTGGGGTTACCCTGAAAAAAATTATTCGATTATGTCACTATTTGAAGAGATCTAATTGGCTCACCTAGTCCTATTCTAACCCTGAAAAAAAAAAAATAGACCCCAAAGAATTCACTTAAAATGTGACCAATTTCAGAATCAGTAGTGAATTTTAGATTTTCAGCTTCATCTGTCTAAGATCAAGAAAATGCCAGATTCATCTAACGATCACGGACACGAGTATCCATTTGACATTCACGAATGCAATAAAGATGGATTCAGATTCATTCTTCGCTGCAATGGATACGATGAAAGTATCATGCTTACAGATATGAAAAAATTCGCTGAAGTCTTAAGCACTAAACCGAGAGAAGTCGTAGGCTTCTACGTAACACCATTCGAAGTTCCGAAAGAAGTTAAAGATTTCGTACAAAATCATGAACGAACCATTTTCATGAGCAACGAGAAAGAAATGCTCAGTAAAGTTGAAGAACAAATGGAAATCTCTAAAGAAAAGATGCGTGAAAAAGCAGAAAAACAACTTGAAGAAATGGGTTGTAAAGATCTCAAAATCGTTAATCTAAAATTCTTATAAATCATTAAATTGGTTAAAGATCTCAACATCATTATAAAATTTTATAAATCATAGCAAATATATTTTTTTCTCTGAAAAAAAAGCAAATCTTTTATATCATATAGAAAATAAAACTCTAAATAGCTTCGTCTTTCAAAGCATTTAAACAAAACTGATCGATTGTTGAACTATTTTCCTGTTGTCTAATAAAATGCATTTATTTTGAATGAAAACAAAAACGCTAACATAGTATTATTGATGTACACGTCACTCTGGTTATACGGACATCTGACATTATAGTAAAATCTTTCTATACTGACTTTTTTTACAAAATTTTAAATATAAAATGTCGGTATAATTCACTTTATTGACATTTTGAATTTTTACTAATGAAAAAAAATAGTCGATATATCCAAAGTAGCGTGTATTAGGTATCAACTAAATTAATTATCAAATAACGCGTGTCATCGAAAATTTTAATCATAAATTTCAAAAGTAAATTCTACCAAAGTACGATCACTGATCTAAAAACACCGTGATACCTATGATACCCATGACACAGTAATCATCGATAATACAATATCGATTAATTTGTTTAAATAATTTGGTGATCGTATTATGATGATTTTTCTCATTAAAGAGGTCGTTGCATATCTTTAACTCCATATTCTTAAGCTCTTTAAGACAATTTATTGAACGTAATAAGATCTTGTCTGCAACATTTTACATTTTTTTAATTGATAATGTTCTTCGAGTATTCAAGGTTCGTCTGGTCATTTTATCAATATCACGTCACATTCGATCTCATCGTCACGAAACATTTTATCAATATCACGTCACATTCGATCTCATCGTCACGAAACATTTTCAATTTATATTCTTTAGATAACTATGAAAAAAAATAAACACATTATCTTCACATCATGTTAATACCGGTGTTTCGAAAGAATTTCAATAACCTATCATAATGCTAACATACCGTTTCTCATGGATCTTTTGGTACCGCTTCTGATAGGTAAGAAACAAAAGTTAATTTACATACTGTTCTTAATAGGGTTTTAAGAAGAACTTCTAAACACTAATAACTTTGATCTCTCAAAATCAATACATAGATAAAATGTTTTCTTCCCCTATTAGGATTAGTATTGCCGATCCATCAGGAATATGTTTTTGCACCATACCAAATTGACATTAAAAAAAGTAATAATTACGTAACGGTAAGTTTGTAGAGAAATTTTTTTATTGATGGTTGTTGAAAAACTTGAACGTTAGCCATATAAATTTTTTAAAACTTCAAATGATCTATCGAAGACTATTGAACTAAATGCGAATATATATATAATTCTATAAACTTGTAGGATTACTTTAAAGAATTTTAAAAGAATTTTCATCTGGTTTATGGCGTTCTCAAGCACCTACCTCAATTAATTCAATAAAAAATCTGATTGGCTAGTTTGATCAATCAGACCCGTTATTGAGTCCATTGAGGTGGTGCATGAGAACGCCCTTAATCCGATAGTTGTTTGAAAAAAAAAAAAAAATTCAAATTTCATATCTACGTCTTCAAGTCGATCAGCTGAATTTTGATTTTTCCTGTGACAATAGACGTAATTGTTTGGGAAATGTGCAACATAATTCCAAAATTTTAAAAATGACAATAACGTTAATGCATAATATATTTTTTGACCAATAATGCAATTAGATTCTATGCATTATTAATATTATCTGTCGAGATCTTCAATTAACTGAATTTGGTGTTTCGAATACGTATAATCTATCGCGCTTATAATAAATGTTACTATAGTATGTGGTGGTGGAAAACAAGTCGTATAAATGCGAAATTTATTACAGTGTAGATAATAACTGTGACTATATCATTTATCCTTGAGTGAAATTCAATTATCAACGATGGTTTGAATTTAAGAAAAAGGGTAATCGTTTTATTAGTAATGAAAATATTTTTATTGTGAGTCATTATGAATTAAAACACGGACAAGAGAAGATTTCAATTATTAATATTAACCTAGGACTTTTTCATTGTCACAGAATAACGATTCTACACATATGTTTTTTATGTTTTTGAAGATTAATTTTTTTTTTTAAATAAATAACCAAAATTTATGGTTTCGAGAAATACTGTACATAAAGTATACATAGTAAATAGTATAAATTATAGTAAATGAAAGTGTGGAATTTATCGAACGACTTAGCTAAGTAGCAACGTGAATTCAGATAAAATACATTATTGAATTAACAATATAAATATTTTTAAAGAATTCACATATGCATTTTATTTTTATTAAGTAATTTACACCTTATATTATTAGTTTACAGGAACCAGTAATATTTATGAAAATTAAGTTTACGACCGCTGATAATTTTTAAAGATACGTACTGAGAAACATAAATAGGATTTGAAACATATACTATAATGGAGGGGAAAATAATACTTGGGCTGATAAAGAATTTATAAGCAATTACAGTATATATATTATATACTGTATATACAGTATTATACAGTATATTATAAAGAGTATTGTAAAATATTATGTAACTACATATATGCTTTAATAATATTACTATTGACTTAACATTAGTCAAAGACAACATACAATTGATTAAAATTTTTTTTAATATTAATGCTAAGAATAAACATACAATAAATCTAGAACCTTTTTTTTTGATGAGAGAAATATTCGTGATGTGTAACAATTGATATGTATTGAAGAGAAACAATGCTACTAAATTTGAACATTGGTATATTTTTGATCGATCGTTATTAAAATTCGCACACAAAAAATTGCATGAATTACTTTAATTTTTTTATAACTATTACAATAATTTACCATTTTCCATTATACAATTGACTTATATTATAATGAAAGTGACCCAAATTCACAATATTTATCATGAATTTTACTAATAATTCATGATAAGTTTATCTAAAATAATTTTATTAAGAACGGGTTCTTTTTCTTTTAATTCATTGTAACGGAAATAAATTGTGCTACGTGATAAAACTTTATTGGATTGGAAGTTTATCATTACCATTCTTGTTAGAAGAAAGAAACCATAATATAATTTTACATGCTATTGAATGTATGATGACGAGGGAAAAATAAGAAGTTGAATTTATGTCAAGTTAGTCGGTTGTTATTGTCGCGTTCGACGTACGTACGCAAGTAGGTAACATAAATGTATGCACGAACGTTTCATGTGACATTAATCGGAAAATTACTACGCCACAAGAATACAAAGTAGGCTTCACGTGAAACAATTTATTTTTATCAAAGCTGAGACATAATTCGGAGTGAAATGTACTTAACGAAAAAAATATGTCTATTATTGGTTATCATTAGGATATTATTAGGATATTTTACTATCTACAATTGAATTCTTTTTTAAGCTTATCAATTGCTTACTAAAATATAAATATTTGATGCACGAGAATAAAGGGAAAAGGCTGAGTATTTAAGATTTTTGGATTAAAAGATAATTTGTTGAATTTTCAAATTTCAAAAAGTACAAGAATTTCATTCGGATCGGGTATAAAGGATTATAACATGCGTAAAAAAACGTGGTTGATTCAATTAATATGCATAGTGCACGGTGCACGCGAATTTTTCTGACAAAATATTTATATTATTTTAAAGAACTTTTGATCTCGTGATGAATACGCGTTCATTTAAGCCACGACGTAAATACAGTAAGAGAATTCAAGATGAAACAAGGAGGGTGCTCATCTAATCTTTTCCATTTTGTAAACTTTAAGCTTTTGTTGTCACTTAAAGATCGTTATTTAGCCATTTCTAAATTTAGGAGATTTGACCACCGAAAAAATTGTTGGATAAAGACCGAGAAATATACTAATTATAGTACAACCTGTCAACGATTGCATTTCTACTGCTTAGGTTATCTGTCCTATCATTCTGGACTTTGTGGTCACAAATATAAAATTAGTTGAATGGTTAAAAGTGGTATATTAAAATATATAAGCCTGTTTCATGTACTCTTTCGAAAGTCACTTAAAGTCACTTATACAGTAATATTTTTCAATAGAACAGAATTATACAATTAACATATATACTTGCACAATCTATGTATTCCCTTATTTGGCATACTAGACTAGCATATTTCCTTTCTTGCAGTTAATATCGGCGAAGAAAAATCTGAATGCAAATCTGTATACCAAAAATTACGAAACGCAGCAATTATACCTTAAAGCTTGTGTAATAATCATCACATTGTTTCCAAATAATGGAATTATTGTTTTTTAAACGAAACGTTTTGGTGAAAGTCGTGTGACAATATTAGAACTATAGTAGGTAATGAGGGTTGAAGAAAGGTTAAATGAAAGTGTTTATTGTAACTTATAAATATCGGTCTGAAATATTTTAATGCTCTTGTCATAACTCTTTTCAAAAAAAATAAAAAAATCCTCCTAAATAATTTTTTTCATTCATTGATATTTGTTAACATTTTAAAAAACATTTAGTTAATTATTTTGTTAACATTTTAAAAACATTTAATTGATTATTTTGTTAACATTTTAAAAACATTTATTCGTATATTTGTATTAGAAATTATATACATTTATTCTTGTTTAAAAATTTTAAAAATGCAAAAGCATCAATCTACAAGTTGGTCTAATCACTATTACCTTCACAACTGTAATTGTTGTTTTCCAAGTCCTCATCCTTCCGAACATGTTTGCCCTATCACTAACCTACCAAGTCCTTCGATGCCCGATCATGTATTATCAATACCTGAGCCTACTTATATTTCAGATTCATCATCATGTCGACAAACTTTTTCTTCAAACATACATAAATACCCACCAAATTATCCTTCAAATTCTCAAAATACTTCTCAAAATCGTCAAAATGAGATGTCCTATCATCGTAACAGACAAAATAGTGACAACTCAAATTCAAATTTAAGTGACACTCTTAGTCACCAATATCAATGTTCTTCAAACAGTTTAAATCGATTATCAAATTTATTTTTATTAAATACACTAAGTACGTTTTTATCTCGAGCAGGATCTCGGATTCGTCGTCATACACCTTCACCAACTCCATCATCTCACACGAATCTTGAAGAATTTACTGTGGTAATTCCAGTACTTGATAATAAAACTAGGAGAAAAAATTTAAATGATTCTCCAATGAAAAATCCACCTTGTTGGAAAAGAATCTTCTGGGTTGTATCAACAGTTCTAAATATTTATACATTTATTGGAAGTATTCTTTTAATGATTATTCTATCTATAAATGGGAATATCTCAAAGGTTAGTCTAACTTTTTATGCCATTACTTTTTCTAAAAAAAGTGTTTCCATGATAATCCTGATAATCTCTATTGCTAATTTTCTTTTAAAAAAATTTTTTTTATTAGTCGTTTTCGCAGACCAATTATATAATTATAGCCATAGGTACTTTGGAATTTGCTCCACGTTTAATGAATATTTATCAAATTCACCTTTATACCAATGGAAGAATTGGATTTATTGAAGCTTTGGCTATTATGTTTGGTACAAAAATTTCATTTTTGCTATCAAATATTGTTTTTTTTTTTTCTTTCAGTTTTTGATATCTTTTATTATTATTATATATTAAAATAAATCCTAAAAGATTATTCACTCACATTAAAATTTTATTAAATTATTCATATATGTATATATACAGGCAAAAAGGAACTTTACTTACTCTATGGTAAACATCATATAACTTACAAACAAGTCTCTAATGTAAGTTACACTTCTGATGCGCTCACATTTGTCTATTGGGCATTCCTAAGTTTTGAGCTTGTCTCGGAAATTCAAAGAAATTTAGAAAATACTATAGAATTTACTTTATTACATAATAGGCAAGGATTTTTAATGCTTACATTATTAAGTGTTGTAACATTAATTATTCTAAGGATTTCATGGGGCCTTATTAAACGAGCTGTATATTTTGCTGATAGACATGCTTGATTATTTGCCATTATAGTAGAAATAGTGAGTGAGCGTATTAGATTTGAGATGAATATTCGATGTCTTAAATGTCTACTATATACATTTAAGAAATGTACAGTTTTGAAAAAAATATTTAAATATTTAAATATATATTATGCATCTATGAAATATTATGCAATAACTATCATCGCTATTGAAACATTGTATTACATCTTTCGATACATACCGCACATGCATCAATTCTTCTCATGTACATACTGTACTTCAACCTAATTCTAGGCACTCAAACATAGAAACGGTAGTTATAGACTTATTCATGAAATATGTGTCACGTGAGCCCAATACATCATAATATTTATTCCCAGGCTCAGAAATGAATGAATGTATTCGTTTTTATAACTGCTTTGTATAATTCTAACTTGTACAGTTAATAAATAGAACATATTCAATAATTCTTTCGAGTTCAAAATTTCGAGAAATTAAAGAAGAATCATATAAAATATGATTTTTCCCGTGATACCATAGAACTGAAAAACTGTCGTTACATAATCTCCAAAATTATATTATCACTCAAAGTATCACAAATCCTAATTAGACAAAACTATCTGGAATTTTTGTTCTTAAAAATTCCAAATCCCAAAATAGAGATTACAATTTGATTGGCTACCAATTCACTGCACCAGTCAGATTTGCGTAATTCTATGTAACTAATAAATATGTAACAAAAAAACCTTTCTCTGAGAATTTTGGGAGTGGGTTTAAGTTTGAGATAAGAACTTAGACATTCGAATTTGAGCGGCAAACTCTTATAATTTCAGCATACAGCAGTATCCCAAATCGAATGGAGACCCGACCATATACTAGAACCTGTCAGATTAATACTTACATAAATAAATTAAAATAACATTTTATTAAATATACCTCTGACTCGATTTTCTAAAAGGTTTCAGTTTTTTAAAATTCAAGTTTCGGAATATTATTTCGGGTTTCGGAAAACCGAAACTATATTTTTAGAATTTTGAATACTATTTTCAGAAACTAATCCGAGTAGTTTGTCTCAGGTCGCGCATAAAATGCTAAGTAATTTTACTTAAATAAATTAGTTAAAATATTTCTGCTTTGTTATAATAATTTGCAGTCGTATTTTAAAACCTAACAGTTAACATCCAATTCGAATTACACGGAAAATTAACTTGCTTTAATTAAATCTAATCTTTAAATTCTGTAGTCAACTTGCTATTATTTAATCGGGTAAGTTTTAAACTTATCCCAACCTGAGCTGATTATTAAGAACTATTACAGCGTTCAAAAATTTGTTAACACCTTTTATAAACGTAGTTTCAATTTAACCAATAAATAAATAAATAAAAGTTGGTTTCTCGGGATTTTTCAAATTGCATTGTTTAATCTTTTATATTACTGTTTAAAAGAGATATTTCGCAAAAAGTCTTACTAGTTTCTATACTTAAAGGTATTAAAGTTTTTAGAATTTGGTTAATTTACGCCTGATGACCAATCAAATATCAATATAAACTTTTAAATAAGTATCATGAAAAATGGTTACTACGTAACAATAGGCACGAGAAATTGGAATCGCCTAAAATTTTTCTAATCGTTTAATATCAACCGTTAACTATTAATCTGACCGGCATTGATATAATTTTGGCCTAAGACCAACATAATTCAGCCCGAATTTATGAAATTTTTATGCAGTTAACTGGTTCTAACCCTTAATCAGGGATATGAATTCTATTGGTCTAATGAGTTTAATGTCTATTGGCCTTTAAATTAATTGTTTTTTATATATTAGCAAGATAATGATATCTAAAATTAACCAATAAGATTGTTTTAAATTATATAGTAATTTTCTGTTGCCTAATGACTTAATTAGACACCATTGGACCATTAGACTGTCTATTGAGTCTATTGGCTTGTCTATTGTCTATTCACAAACCTGCCTTAATAGACACCCTAGTCCTAATTTCAATCCCTAATTTCAATCTTAATTTCAGGTTAACCTTAATTTTAATTTTAATTAATGTTGATAAGTCGAAGTTGATAATGCCTTTTCAAAACATCGTTCAAAGTTTATTAGAGTAATTTTCAGTAGGAATCATACATAACTTAACTAGCGAGTAAGTCTTTTAATTGAATTTTTTACAGTAAATTACGATATCAATGATAATGCCAATACAAACTAATACTGTGGATTATGGCACGTAACCAGATCATTTTTTTCAATGGCTAAAGTATTGCAGATCTGCGAAAGAAATAAAGAAATAGACTACGTATAGGAAATAAATGTCAATAAGTTATAATGTGTGATGATTTAGCATCACACGGTCGAATGCAAGTATGTCAATCCTTAATTTTTAATTCGTATGCAAACGGAAAAACAAGTGTTCCAAATTTACTTTTTATACACTTAAAACAAACATTTAATCTTTAAGTTTTATATAGTTAGAATGGCCGAATCAGTATACTCAAAACTGGAAACTAGTCTAAATCTGTTAAATAGAATTTTTATATACTGTACTGTATAATAAATATGTGTGTCGCCGAGAAAAGACTTTAGGGAGTCAAAAAACGGCAAACACTAAAACTACGTTTTTGATATTTTATTAGAAATGAATCAAAAAAAAACCATAATTTCAGTCATCAAAACGCATGAACTCCGCTTCTCTCCGACTATAATTTTTCAAATTGATGCTATATACTGTATCTTCATACCATACTGATCTGCGCAATATACAGTTTAGTCTTCACTACATATATTTCCTTTTAGAGTTTGTAAAGCTATTATTGCAATGGATCAAGTCAATGGATCGGGTCACAGGCTAAATACCAGACTAATCTTAGCTCCTTTTGCCATTGCAACTTTTGTGACCCGGCCCGTTTTAATTTGTGACTTGACCAACAGATTGAACTGTGTCATGTAAAACAATGTTCAGCCCATTTCTGAGCGACTCTATTGATTATGTGGAATAGAGGTCATGAATGTTATATGTAAAATGACAGTATGCGTATTAGGAAATGAACTGTTGAAGTTTGTCTGATTGTGTCCCCCGCTGGGTTAATTCGTGCTATACTGTAACGGTACGCCCTACGCACTGACGAGCAGTATCTAACATTAAGGATAAGGATAAAAGCATACAAATACATGTTTATGCTGTTTTTTTTTTTTTTTTTTTTTTTCTTTGATTGTGTAAGACAGTTAAATTTGATACATACATTACGTACGTACGTATCCGCCGCTAATAAATATAAATAATTTATTTTTTGTTTATAAATAATAAATAGAGTTTTACCGTTTTATGATTAGTTTCAGAATAACTTGGGACTGGTCAACTCGATTATGTTTATTGTTTATGCCATCCAAAATGTTTAGACTAATTTAAGAAAAAAAAAAAAGCAAACTTTAATTCGGAAAATTAATTTTCCCAACTTTATTAACCAAATGCCGGTCAGCCGGCGATTACTGTAGGATCGATTACAGCCCTATGCACAGAACCAAGAATTTATGCTTAGATGTCTGGATGTACATTATACATTACATTTTCAATTATGCCAAGATTGAAACAGGTCGTAGTAATACATATATTGAAAGTATTAAAAATTCAAAGCATTCAAATTACGTATAATGAACAAGAAAATTTGAAAATATTAAAAATTCAAAGCATTTAAACTACGTATAGTTGAACAAGGAAAAAAATTTTAATTTTATAACAGATAGATAAAGAAAGTGGCGCGATAATTCTGCATATCGCATAAATATTTAGTCTCATCTGACTTGTTAAACTTTCTTATCAAAAAAAAGGTTGATCTTTAGTACGTACGTATAAGTGGGCATAAATTATAATATATACAGTAAAAATTAGCAATTTTGATCAGAATTAAGCAAATTAATAAATTATTAATTGTATAAAATTTCTTAAAAAATTTCTTTTCATCAAAAAAAAAAAGAAGATATCAGGTGATAATGTTCCTATAATTGTCTAAAAAATTATGTTAATAATAAATACTGTATATGCTTAAAACTGTTTATTAGAATGATACTGTACTATTGATTTTTCTAAAACCTCAAACTACTTCTCTTTTGGATTAAATTATAGTAAAATTCTTGTTTATTCTGTTTTAAAAAGTTAATAACAATTTAAAGTTCATGAGTATCTTATATTAAAATAAAAATAGGGTTGAAACTTATATAAATATATAATATTCTAACAAATAACTAGAATTGATTCAAATTTTGTATAGATTTTATTATATCAATATTTAAAAAGTGTAGAGGTTATGTTTATGAATTTAGATGAACAAAAGTCTGTAATAACCAAACATGTGTATTATTCTATTTTTTGAATGCTAAAATGATATATATGTGTTGATATATTTAATTAAGAAATAAAAAAATATATAAAACAATAATAAACTTATGTGAACTATCTCTTGGTTGTAAATATGTTGAATTTCTTCAGCCATTTTACAATGCTGAACTCAATCAAGAACTTTTTTTCTTAAATATTCTCGAAGGTTTTCACGACTTGTCCATTGAAGAATTACAAGATTTTTCTTTGATTCATTATCTAAATTACCTAATAACACAAAATAATATAAATTATATATATTTATTTATTTATTTATAAAGTTTTATAAGTTGAAACAGTTACAATGGCGACTGAATCCATAAAATCTCAGCAATGTTTGAATGATTATCTGCTTGTCTAAATAACTAACCTATGATGAAAATTTAATACGCCATTATAATTTATATATGGGGTGTGTGTTACTATAAACCAAGTTACATTATAGAAAACTTTCAGAATTCAAAATGGTTAAGGTAGGCCATACAAAGCCAGCTGGATTGAAAACTCTATTTATAAAAGCTTCCGAATACGATTTTTAAAAACGGACGGGAGGATCACTCTAATGTGATCTGGTGAGTCTTTAATCGGATATTTAATATCTGGTTAATGATTTTTTCTACGGGTAGACCTCTCGTTACGAGAAATGATTAATTATATGTTCTTATCTTTGTTTAACAATGGTTTTCTTAGTTTTACTGATGTGCCTCATAATACAAACAATATTAACCTCACGGGCAAAATTCATCCGAAATTTCATCATTGTTTTCGCAAGGATCATTTAATAGACATTTAATAGCTACTTTTTTCAATAGCCTCATATACTTTACCACATCTACCTTCTGCTATTTTTTTTTTGCACCTCGAAATTTACAAGGGGAATGGTTGTTATTTCGCCATTTTTTATGGCGTCAGTTAACCATTTTCTTCAAATTTAGCAAAAGATCGATTATATTTGTATATAAAAAGATATTGCAGTATTGTACAACATTGGTTGATGGTAATTTAACGAGATAACTAAAAGAAAAAGGAAGATTTATTTACTGGTAACGTATATCATGAAAATAATGTTCTTCTAGAGCAAATATTTCCATTATGCCCGTATGAATATAATCATTAAAAACATTTCTTAGTTGTAAAACTACTTGTAAATTCATCTGTTATATAAGTATCGATAATATAATAAATCTTTATTTCCTAAAATCAGTAAATACATGAAATTTTTACAGCTACATTCTTTTAAAATATATATCTTTTTTTAAAATATATGTCAAAGATGCCAAGTTAACTAATAATAAATAAATAAATAAATAAAACGTTCTACTATCTGAAGAAAGAAAAAATGTTAATCATATTTTAAGAGTTTTTGATACTTATCTAAAACACCCGCCTTATTATATTTTAAACAAACCTTATCAAAATTACCAATAATCTCACATTCATTCCAATAAAATGAAATCTTTTTTGAAATTCTTTGTCTACTTTGTAAAAAACTTTCAAATACATCCGTTGTAAATTTCCATCCATGAATGATGGTTAATTTACTCATTTTCCATGGTTGTTTAATCGTGATTTTTCTAAGAAGTGGATTAAAATCAATTCGATTTTCCACAAGTCTACAACACTTATTTGATGGATGAAGACATAATGTTTCAATTTGGGAACATGCGTTAAGCATTTGACCAAATTCAGAAGCATTATCAGATCCAATTGGTCCATCATAATGTATAAGATTTTGACAATTATCCGCAATTGACGTAAATAATAAGTAAGACTGTTCTGGATCACAGATTGTACAACAACGAATTGTAATAGAACTTAGGTTTATGCCAGCATTGCCCAAGAACCTGCCGAAAGATTCCAAATATAGAGAATGTCGATTCTTGTATGAAATTTTTTTAAGTTTTTTCAAACGTACATCCGATAACGGAGTCCAATCATGCGAGTTATAAGATCCACAATAAAACATGTTCAATTCCACTAAACTAGTAAAGTGTGAAAGGGCTTCAAATGGAAAAAAAATATTCTCAATTTCTAGGTAAGTAACAATTGATGCTTTCTTGGAGATTACAGAACCAGCATCAGTGTCAACCCAAAATTTGAAACCTAACGGAGAATTGGTTCTATTATTAATAATAAGTTCTTTAAAAAGTTTCTGAGCTTTTAACATATTTATCAATTGTTCAGTATGTCCATAAATTGATAGGTCAAAACGTTCGATATTGCCAGTAAGTTGAGCAATTTGAGAAAAAAGAATTTCCATCGTAGGATGTTCCGCAAAGTATAAAAATTCTTTTAAACTTGCTAAACAGTTTCTTGCTTCAGGAACATTTTGAAGAATATCTACAATAATAGCACCTATTTTATCAACATTTACTTTAAGTACTAAAAGACGTGGAGATGAAAGAAATAAATGTCGTAATAATTCTTGAATAACTAATCCTATCTGGCCACCCGTAAAAGTTCTTTTAGCAGACCACTTATCGGAATATTCAGTCCATGATTGTATAGCGATGAAAAAGCATTTCAAATCCAATTTACGTAAATATGAGGCGTATTCGAATGTTGGAGATCTTGTGACTGGCGGTAGAATGATCTTTTGGTCTATAAGTACTTTATGCGATGCTTGCGGAAGACCTGTAATATACGTATTTACGAGAGCATATCTTTTGCGCTTTTCATTTCTTCCATTCAACTTTTTGCTATCCAAAGGATCTTCCCACAGCAATGGAATTGCGCTTTGACACCATAAATGATTTACTAACGCACAAGAATGTAGAGAAGAATGATCATCTTTGAGAACCCCAAATATTTTGACCAGGCAATCCGAGTACAACCGAGAAGCCATGTGAAATAAAAAGAATTATAATTTTTTTTTTTTTTCTACTTTATTCTCTAAAATATTCTAATTACGTAATAGATATTTAAAAATCAATAATATATTTGAACATACTAGGAACTAGGTGTCAGATAGAGATACGTATTATTATCAAAAAGAAAATCAAGACAACATTCAAAATGTTTATACATACCTTTATTAAAATTCCTAGTCGAACACACTAGTTGTATCGGATTTCTATGTAATAGGTACATAAGAATTATAATAAAATATTCTAAAATGTAATAAAATAATGGTAAGCTTTAGATTTGAATTCAATCAAACATTGTCGTTTGATATTTTCTCAGGAAAAAGATGATAAAAATAAATAAATACCCTTGTATAAAACTTTGTTTCGGAATTTTTTTTTTCTTTTTATATCCCCTCACCTGATTTAAAAATATGTACAGCAGTTCTTTTTTTTTTTTTTTTTAAACTGATACACAAGACTCTATCATATTATTTATCTCATCAGAAAAAATTGAGATTCCAAATATACGAAATTACTTAATTGAGCAGACCAAAGAGACTTTGCTAAACAAAAACGTGGACACAGATTTATACAAATATATTGATATTACCAGCACCCGTGACTTAAATTTATTCTGGGAACGTTATGCAACATAAAACCTAATATAGTATCATTCACTGCGTTCATATTAGTCAATGATGCAGATCATGTGAAGTTGTAAAGTACTACGTATTACATACGGGTACTCACATACGTATGTATGTCGTACGTATACGTACAGTTCATACGTACATTCTGATGTGACAAATAATTCATTACATTTAGTATTAAGAAATTTTTCAATGACTCGCTATTTATAAAAATACCATTTAATGGTATAATTTGTTTAATTTAGAAGGTTACAGATACCATTTTTGGAAATTTTAAACTTATAAATACTTACCCTCATTTTCTTTAATTCAATTTCGAGAAATACAACTATAAAAACATAACTCTGGTTTAATCTAATATCGAAACTTAAAAAAAAAAAAAATCCATGTCTTCACTGAAAACTTTGTCGACTATAAAAGAAACTGAAAAAAGTGTATTTCACGAAAAAAAACGAAAGATAAAAAAATTATTTTTGTATGTATTTAATTGTTAAATAATCTTAGCATATATTATAAAAATAATTAAATTGAACTGTTTATGATCAAATAGACGTAATACATCAAAAAGAAAAGATGTTACTTCTGACACTGAAAAATATATTGAAGCAACATTATTGAATTCACCATCAATAACCATTACAGATTATGAGTGAGCTATCCTTTATCCTTTAATAACTTCTCTGAATCTTACTTCCTTGAAACATTAAATTTATAAAATATTTTATTTTTCAGTAAGACTGTAGATGAAGAACAGCATGCAATAACAGAACAATTTTATAAAGATTCAGAACAAGCAAATAGATTCTTACGTCAAGGTGATTACGCGTCAGCCTTTCCACTCCTTCAAAAGATATTTATTCAGGATTCTAGTAATATTGAAGTTCAATATGGAATCGGTTTTTGTTATGAAAAACTTAAAATGTTTGATGAAGCTGAAACCGTATTTCGTAATTGTTCCGATTTTGAATTATCATCATTTACAAAAACTTTAACTGCTCCTTCATCACAAAGTAATTATAATGATAGGGATTATACAGTGAAATACGTTACATTTTTACTTAATAATGATAAATTTAGTATTAAAAGTGATGAAGCCATAAAACGATTAAAATTTGCAGCAGTACAAATGAATAATGTTTCTGCAATGTATAATTTAGGAAAGATTTTGATTAATGGGATGTATAATGTACAAGAGGATTTTGAAGAAGGGCAAGAATATTTGAAAAAAGCGTATGCTGGAGGTCAAGCCGATAGGGCGTGGGCCGTTTATGAAAAACGAGCAAAGAAATTGGAGAAACAAGGAAAGTTGGACAAAATTCCTGATAGAGAAACTTGGGCTAAACTATACCGCGAATAACGTGTTACTTCGAGAAGTCCACACGTGTTATTTCGAGACCTCATGCGCATTATTTCAATTTTCTTGAACTCGACGTACATATGTCATGAATCCACTGATATGTTATACAAAGTGCATCTTATTTCGGGAACGCGCATGCACGTTATCTTGGCCAATTTCCAAAATAACGCTCATAGGCGTTATTTCGAAGTTATACGATGTATAATTAAGTATCAGTTATAATAACGACACAGAATGTAACAAATGCATATCTTTATGTCCTATTTTTTTTAGAAAATTCTGTATATATAGATAGTGAGCCAGATATGATATGATGTAATTCAAATATTTATGTCCATTTAATAATTTAATAATTTTAATGATTGTCAAAATAAATAAATAGATTGTGTATTATGGGTACCAAGCTTATGGTGTAAAAAAAAAAATTGATGGTATCGTAATTGATTTAATTAGTAGTTTTTTTTTTTTTTACATATTTTGTTTAAAAATTTCGACGAGCTAGCCACACTGACTATAATATTACCAATAGAGAGGCGATTATCCCTTAAACTGTCTAGTGTCTAAATTTGTATGTTAAACCATATTTTTTGTAACTACTCAAAATTTTATTAAGATTATCATCTCATTTCTAAGCTAAAATAAAAATATAACATAATTAATTGATAATATATGAAAATTTTAATATAATTTCAATGCTGTTAAAAATATTTAATTTTAAATATTATTAATTGTAAATTTTTTCTTATAAATTTTTTTTAAAAAATTTTAAATATATACAGTCGTCCCTCCATATAGTCACCTCCCATATAATCACACCATATGTAATCACATTTTTATTTAGACCAAACTATAATTTAATTTATAAAAAAAAAACCTCCATATAAGCACAACCTCTCTATAAGCACATTTTTAAAAAAAAGTTACTATGTGCCCAACTGTGTGATTGTATGGGAGAACAACTGTATATCTTTTTACTCAAATTGAAGTCAAAATTTTATTTAATTAATATTATTTGGAAAATTAATTTTACAATTCTGTTCTAAAATTAATTTTTAGTTTATAGATTCAAATATATATTATTATATAAAATTTTTTAAATATTACAACCAATTTTTGACATACAGATTTGTATGTTAAATCTAATAGTTTAAAAGGTAAAAATATTGTTATATAAAGTGCCTCTCTTTATAATTAATAATATAGTAATCTAATTGACCAAAAAAAATAGGTTATAATTGTCTAAAGCATAGTGCTGTAGATTAGTGTATATGCAAGGTAATATTGATGCATCTGCATAAAATTGTAATTGGAAATTCTTTTGTCTATTTGCATATGTAACTAAAACATGCATATTCATACATTTATACAATACAGAGACGATAATTTTCTGTAATACTAAAAAAAATTCTGTGCATATAAAAATAAATTCTGTAATATGATTATGTGCAATTATGTAGTGTAAGATAGCTAATTAAGTGCTAAAATGTGTCTAAATTTGTATGAACTTTATTGTCTAAATTAAACCACCCACTTTCTAAAAATTAGTGTTTATTTTAATTTTTATAGCTAAATTATGTAGTCTTTCTATACAATTCACTACCTTCTATGGTATTTTGTAGTAATATAGACCTATTTCTGTATATTTTGTAATATTATATAAAATAAAAATTATTAGCCTGGTGTAATAAGATTATCATCATAGAATCCTCTCTTTGAGAGAATTTTAACAAGCTTAAAATCATAAAAATCCAATTACTGGCTTCTGAAATCAATCTATTATTATATATACTATACTATTTTTACGGCTTCTAATGTTCTTCTGTGCATATTTTTGATGATATTTTTATAATGATATAACAACCCATGCTTTTTTCATTTACTTATTACAGCAATAAAATAGTTATTATAGGTTATAAAATAACTAAATTTTGTATAAAATTACATAGCCTTCAGCCATATAACTTAATCTGTACAAATTTAGTTATTTTTTACAACCTATACAATAACTATAATATATATAATACACATTTTCTTAATTATTATATCTGGTTCTAATAATCACTTTCTTTTAAAGTTGTACTAATTAACTAAAAACTATATTAATTAAATTAATTAAATAATTAGAGAAATATATTTTTTTTATTTTTATAATATATTATCTTTTTTTTTTTTTAATAATTTGGCAGTCATTAGCAAAATAAATAACCGTAATCTTACGTAAGTTATTATGCTCTGAAAACTTACGTAAGAATTATGGATCGACGCGGCATATTTCGCAATTTTTAATTACAGAATATTACAGAATTTATTTCAAAATATTGTGAAATATATTTCAAAATATTGCAAAAACTATTGTAAAGTATGATGCAAAATTTTTCGAAATATTATGTGTGGAATTACAATTTTATTAAAAATATTTTTTTAAAATAACACTTATATGTATATTTATTTATTAAAATATTGTTTTATTATATATTTATTACAACATAATTACAAAAACTAAAAGCCGGCACTAGATTTAATTGTTTTCACATTCAAAATCTCAAGCCTAATTCCAATACACCATTCCACTATTTCTGGCAAAGAAACCTCCAAAAAGAAAAAAACTACCCAAAAAAAGACTGGTACTTATTTTTTACCAGTTTCCGACACTAGGGACTTAAATCTCAAGTCCGGTTCCAATGCACCTTTCCAACAAAAGCCCGAAAAGAAGAAAAACATTAGTAAAAAAAACGAAAAACAAAACAAGAAAACAAAACAAGAAAACAAAGAAACACATGCTTATCTTTGTATTTAGGATCTTAAGCCTAATTCCAAGATCTCAAGCCCAGTTTCAATAACCTTTCCCGGTGAAGCAAAACCTTGAAAAGAAAAAAACTATTAGTAAAAACAAAAAACAAAAACAAAAAAAAAATTAATACTTATAATTATACCAGCTTCTGGCTCCAAGATCTCAAGCTTGATTCCAAGATCCAAGTTTGGTTCCAATACACCTTTCCAGCAAGCAAACCTTAAAAAAGAAGAAAAAAAGACTAGTATATGTCTTTTTACCAGTTCCCAGTTTGAGAATCTCAAGCCCAATTCCAAGATCTCAAGCCCGGTTTTAATAACGTTTCCTGTCAAAGCAAAAATCTAAAAAGACAAACTGGTACTTATCTTTGTACTAGCTTCCGGCTTCAAAATCTCAAGCTTGTTTTCAAGATCTCAAGTCCAGTTCCAACGCACCTTCCCGGTAAAGCAAAAAAAAAAAAAACGTTAAAAAAAAAGACATACTTATTTTTAGTTTTAGAATTTCAAGACCGATTCCAAGATCTCAAGCCTGGTTTCAAAATCTTTTAATAACCTTTTCTGGCGAAGTGAAATCTGAAAAAAAGAAAACTATTAGTAAAAACTAAAGGCAAACAAGAAATCAAAAAAAAAATTGGTACTTATTATTATACTAGCTTCTGGTTCCAAAACCTAAGCCTGATTCCAAATCCAAAAGCTCAAGCGTGGTTCCAATGCACCATTCCGGCAAAGCAAAAGCCAGAAAAGAAAAAAAATAGAAAACAAAAAGACTGATACTTATCTTTGTACCAGTTTTCGGTTCAAGAATCTCAAGCCTAATTCCAAGATCTCAAGCCCGGTTTCAATAATGGTTCGGTGAAGCAAAGACCTAAAAAAAAGAAAACTATTAGTAAAAACGAAAGACAAACCAAAAAATACAAAAAAAAGCTAGTACTTATATTTGTACCAGCCTCCAGATTCAAGATCTCAAGCTTGATATCTCAAACTTGGTTTCAATATTCCTGACGAAGCAAAAATCTAGAAAGAAAAAAAAAAACTATTAGTAAAAACAAGAAAGCGGGCTAAGAACAAGTCCAGTGAAGCAAAAACCTAAAAAAAAAAAAAAAAACTTCAAGAGCAAAAAGTAATTGGCAGTTTCTGGTTTCTAGATCAGTGAAGCAAAAAAAAAACAATAATCCGGGTTGGTAGTACTAAAGAGATTCGAAGTAAGTAGGTGTTCTTGTAAAGTGCTATAAAATAAATAAATAAAATAAAGTTAAAGAAATAAAAAGATAAACAAGATCTAATCTCATATGTGCTGTATGTGATACAGTATATAATCAAAAACTTACTTTCGCATGGTTTCGAAATTATGCTTTATTTTGCGAAATCGCAAAAAAATAAAAGTTGATAAGCTTTGAAAAGTCGCAAAAATAAAAGTACTTTAACGAGAAAAAAATAAACAAACAAAAATAGCTTGATCACTAATCTTTAATTATAATTGGGTAATAGCAATCTAATAAACCAAGTATTTATACAGTTGCAAATTAATGCGATTTATTTTACAATCCATAAAATTGATGCAATATTACGCTGTCTATTTCGAAATATTGCGAAATATCTTACATAATATTTTGTAATATACTACGTAATATTTTGTAATTTAATATTTTGCAAGGTTTTGAAATATCTTGTGTTATATTACGCCTTTTTTACGGGTTGTAATTTATTGCGTAATATTACGCACTATTAAATTTGCTGATGTATGATATACTATTATAGTCTGTGCTAGGTATAAGAGTAAAAATTATACAATAATTGCAACTAATTACTATATCTTGATTGTAAAACCTTTGGTTTAACTTTGAGTATCTTCTAAATGAAGCAACAATCTTTTCTCTGTACTATAGCAACATAATTACAAATAAACAAAGAATTTTGCTATTTATCACCACTGGTGATCATCACCGGTGTTGCTATATCTCAAAAACGTACTAAGTAAACGGGATCGGGTTCTCTAAGTAAAAATGTTCAGGACCCCCAAAAACCTCACAAAAACTAAAATTGGGCCCTATCGGGCCCTTATAGTAGTTATATATATTATATAAAAAAACAATAATTTTCTAATTTCTAACCCTAACCCTAACTAATCTTAGGACCGGTGATGATCACCAGTGGTGATATGTAGTAATTTTCAAATAAATATATATTTTTTATTTTGCAATTGCATGCTA